CAAGCACAAAATGGTTACAAGGTCATCACATTTACCAACCCCGTATTGAAAGAGTTTGCAAAACAAAATCTTTCTTTTCTCAGTCACTGTCTCTAATTTGTCCAGTCACCAAATTGTTTTGGTAATTATTTTTTTGTGGCATTTGATATAAAGATGGAATGACCTCTTGCTTTTTTTCAACATTTAATGTCATGTCACTGGGGAAGTTCTCTTCAGTTAGATGGTTGAGTGAATCTACTAGTAACACATCCTTGATAATACTGTGTAAGTGGTTTCAACAATAGGTTGACTTACCACTGATGATTTTTTCTCTGAAGCTAACTATTTGACCATTCTGCTACCAACATACTTCCAAAGATGATCACAGTGAGTAACTTTTGGCTTGGACTATCTATTCTTCTGGATTCTGTTAACAACTTCATTGATTCTTTTGTATTGGGTACTTCTCAACATCTAGTTAACTTTTAGATCTCCTCTTTTGGTGTAGATTATACAGTCATACTTGGTTACATTGATAAGATCTATTGTTATCAGGATTTACATCATAGGGATTTGTTATCTTATCTTAAGCTCTTTCTTAGAGAAATCATATATGGCATTAGTAGTTTTCTTTAGTTTCACTTTATACTCTGTGTAAGGCTCTACAATGTGATGCTCTTCAGGGTGTGAGTGTAGAATGTCTAGTAGCATTTATAATTCTCTATCAAACATTCGTGATGCTTATAGCTTCAATTATAAATTTTTGATAACTCGTGCATGGGAGTGGATAAATGGTTAATTGACTTAAAAGTGTATTTTTGTATTGAAAAGAGGATAAAGGACTGTTGTTCTAGTCTCTGTGATTCCAATAATTTGACAAACCTCAGCAAAGAAGGCTAATTCAATGTTCTATTTCTGATCTGAGTGAAGTTCTATAGGTACCCCAAATCTCAAAACTAATTAATCGTCAACTTTCCTTGATAGTGTCTGCTTCCTGATTAGGAACAACATATGCTTCTGACCATTTGGTAAAAGCTTATTGCTACTAAGATATATTAATTCCCACTATTAGACTGTGGTAGAAGACCAAGTTTATAGAAAACAATTTTCTCAAGTAGTGTTTCAGCATGCTAGTGCTTTAATTAGCCATTTTGTTTTTCTTTTGTGGACTTTTTTGCTCACAACACAGTTCACATGATTTCCACCAATCTTTTTCTGACTTATAGCATCCAACCTAGTGGAAACATTCTCTTATCCTCTCAGATAGCTTCTTAAGACCTAAATGCCCAACTGTTAGAAGATCATGGAGATGACAGAGTGCTTTGAAATGTAGAGATTATGTTGTTTCCATCTATTGGTATCCTCCCATTTTCAACATAAACTTTCTTTTAGACATAAATCTTACTGTGCCCAATACATCTTTAGGCTATATTATCCACTATCTGCCACAAAGTTTCTTTGCACCTTTGCTTGAACATCTTTCAATTGAGTGTTGGACCACAATAATTCTTTATCATCTGTGGATGTATCAGCTTGAATTCTGCTTTGTTACAGTATAAAAAATCCGTATTTTTAATGTTATGCTTCTCTCTTTTCTTAGTAGTTACATTATTTGTTACAAGATCTTGGTGTAATGCATCAGTATTTCAATGGTTCATTCTAGGGTAATGCATGATATTAAAACTCTACTCCTGAAGTTTCTGGAGACACTTTGCTATCTGGTCAACTGAATTGTGGAAATTCATCAGCCGCTTCAGTATTGCATAGAGGATAATCATCAGTTAATATCAATATCATGAGACATTTTGTTTGTTTGGCCAAAGTTTTGAGATCTACTGAAAATAGCACCTTAGCACTCTATGAACAAATCATATAATCTGTAGTGTTGATCAGATCTAATACTTTAGAGCTCTGGTCATTCAGCTCTTATAAATTAGTTTGTAAACTCCTTTCTTGTAAACATTTAACATCAGACTTCCTGAGGTGACTACTTTTGATATTCTTTAATATGGAAGTACTACTTGAATAACTTCACATTGTGTAATATTCCATCCAGAATTGACTCTGATTTCATGGTTTGTTGTGTTCATGTCACTAAAGGTAACTCCATGTTATTCAGATCCATGACAACTAATAATACCTCAGGACAAGCTGGAGTGTTTGGTTCTACCATACTGAAGTCACTTAACTAGATCTAAAATTATACCAAAATAGTCCTGTTATGAGTAGTTCACTTGTTGGTGACAGAATAATTGCTTTCCTTGTTGTCACTGAAAGTTCAACCTTTCATTTTTAAATTTTTTTGTAGTGCACAGGGATTTCCTGTTTGAAGCATGTTTAATCTAGTTTACATATATCTTTTTACACAAAGTATTCCCAATATGCACTCTTATATCCCTGACCTACCAATATTGTCATTGGACCAATCCATTTTTCCAGTCATAAGTCTGTCAGACCTTTGAATAATACTGATAATTATACCCATTTATTATAATCTTTGTCATATCAGTCCTA